GTGAGCCGATCGGACGGACGGCGGCGATCACGCATGCGGAAACGGAAGCCGCGCGACTAGTGAGTTCAAGAATAATTACACGACGTCGCGCTCCACCCGGTCGTTAGCCGCTCGGTTAATTGCGCCGCGATCTCGCGCACGCGTCGCGGGAAACGGAGAAAATAGAAGGGGAGGGAAAGAGGGAAAATAGAAAACGCGACGGAGTCGGGGGCATCGCCGAGTTGCCGAGAGACTCGAAGGAGGGGTGCGAGCGGGGTTGTCTGACGTTAAGATTTTACCGTCGACGTCCAGCTAATATTTAAAAAAAATGCCCGAATTATCAAGCATTCCCTCTTCGAAAAATATATTTTTACAAACTGTATCTTTCGTCTCTTTTTATTTTCTCTTTCTTTCCTTTTTCTTTTTTTAACTATGCAGGGATTCTTCAATTTCCAGATCTGGCAACCCTAGATAAGACAAGACGCGCGCGGTACAATCGTCGTCGCGAACGACAGACGCCTCTCTGCCTTCTCTCTCCCGCGCCTTCTCCTCCCGTTCATCTTTCCTGTGTATATTTTTTCCCGACGAGCGCGTTCGACGTGTTTTTTGATTGCCGACGTAAGACGCCCGGCGATGACTGGTTGCGCGCGCGGAACGCGCTCCTCGGACCTTTCTTCTCTCCCACCGTCGTCTCTCTTTCCCTCCCATTCTCTCCTGGGAGGGATCCCTCCGTCGTTCTACGGAGTAAACTGTTTTCTTAGGCACTCGGGACTCTTGAAAAATTCCTAAATATTTACTCGAGTGGAGGACTCCCAGACGGACGACACTTAAACGGTATTCTCCGAGCGCGGGGTACACGAAGACGGGCTTAAGCCCCCCTGAAGGACGGATTAGAGCCTCTCTCGTGCGCGTTTCTTTCTCTCGTTTCCTCGCTGCTACCGCGCGCGCGCACGCGCGTCTGTTTTCTCTCTTCTTCTCTCTCTCTCTCTCTCTCCCTCCCTCTTTTTCTCTCTCTGCGCTCTTACCTTCCTTCTTTTCTCTTTCGCGCTGTACCTTCCTCTCTCTCTCTCTCTCTCTCTCTCTCTCTCTCTCTCTCTCTCTCTCTCTCTCCGCTTCTCTTCCTGTCTCACCAGCTTCGCGCTCAGGGAAATCAGTCTTTGAATTATTATAAGTCGGGCGTGATTTTTACGCGAATTCGCGCCGCGCTAAGGTGATAAGACGCGCGGATGCCGGGAATTCGCCGCCCTTGGAAAATGAGATCTCGCGCGCTCGCATACACGCGCGCGCATTGAAATACGATGAATTATACATGCGCGAATCGGCGCCGACCGGACGAGCCTTATCTTCCTCTCTCCCTTTTTCTTGTTCCCGTGAAGGTGGCGATTATTCGACTCGCGAGTTCGCACGGGGGTGGAGGCACGTCGCGCCGCAGCCCCGCGCGATCTACCTAATTCGCAAGTCGCGTGTTCTTCGTGCCCGCGAATCGATTCACCTCTCTCTTTCTCCCCCCCCCCGTCTTTCCTGAGGAATGCGCGCCCGGAGATTCTAATTCCCTTAATCACGAAAGTTCGTCCATGATTCATAACCCGCGCCGACCTACTATCACCGACACCGCCGCCGCCCGTTGCTAGCAGCGATCCACCTGCCTGCGAAATAATATCGCGAACTTCGGTCGTTTCATCGAGAAAAACCGTGCCGGGTCGCGCGCTTCTTCCGCGTTACGTTCACCATCATCGCGCCGAGCACGCGTCGTGCGTCGGCGCGACGCGAGCTAAACGCGCGTGTGACCTGCCGACTCCCGTGAGAAATCGACGTCTTGCATGTGTGATAGCGATTATTCTGTGTCCACATGAAGAGATTTAGTCTGTTCGACACTTTGACACGACCGAAGGGCAATTACCACTTCGAGTCCCCTAAGCACAATCTACGAGAAGAATTTTAAATTGACTTCTTACTAAGTAAACCTTGGGAAACGCCAGACGCCGATTTGTTTCCAATTTTTTAGAGTTATTTTTTATGTCAAAATATGAAGAAATCTGTTATCATTTTTAGCTTAAATTAAATTTTTCAATTTTTTCGAAATTTTTGAAGTTTCGCACAAGTAATCTTTCGGCTCACTATCCAGCAAACAAGCTCATTTTAACGTCAAAATCTGGTAAAAAATGAACAAGAAATGAACAAAAAAAGAAGAAAAAAAGTTTCGCAGAAGAATAAACTGTCGTCACCCAACGTCGAATGTAGCGTAAAACTGAACACTTTTTCAACAATGACGTCAGCCATATTAGATCCGCCATTTCGAATTTTACAAAATGGTTCTGACTCATAAGTCGGCGACATGTGTGTACAAACTTCAACAAATCAGATATATATATTAAGAAATATTGTTTCAAATATGTATAAAATAATGTACTTGTGCGAAACTTCAAAAATTTCAAAAAAATTTAAAAAATTAAAAAAATTAAAAATTTAAGCTAAAAATGATAACAGATTTCTTCATATTTTGACATAAAGAATAACTATAAAATATTGGAAACGAATCGGCGTCTGACGTTTCCCGAGGTTTACTTGTTAGCCGCTCTGTGTATTACGAAGCCCTTGTTAATCAATTACCGTTGATGCCACCAAATGTTGATTAAACAATGCTTGACGTGTTTGCTTTCATCAGCAGTGCGATCCAAGCAAGACAAGTTTTCGCAAAAATGTTTCACGTTCATCGGAAGCACGAGATGCATCTTTATATGAATTTGAGTAATTTTCAAGAGACTGCTTGGTCGTTGCAACATCACGTCGATCGCACAGCGGGAATCTCTGATCTCACCGTGTCCTTCGGAAACAGCGTGACTAATATCGCCAGACAAATTAAATACCGCGCTGGGGCGGCAAGGAGACCAGCTGACGAGGATAGACGCGTCAGCGGAAGTGCATGCACTTCCACCGCAAGTTCGACCGGCGGAACGTCGAATTAAGCCCAAGCGAAGGGATCACTTCGCATGGAAATCGCCGCGGCATGGTCGACGTGTTAACAATGCGACGACCCAGAAGATCGTCGGCGCTTACCGGCCCCGGCCGTGAATATTTCATTCGGCCGGCGCGGGGGGGAACTTTTCGTGGCCGGGGGAACACGAAACCACCTCGGCGATCGGACGAGTATCGCGAGGATCGAGAGTCTCGACTGTGCGTCGTGTGCGTGCGTGAAATACGCGTGCATACGTGCGCGCGTGTGGAAGGATCCGGGCAACCGTCTTCTAGGCAGCCGGTGAAAGGCCCGGTCTCCAATAGCGGGCGACTCGGTTCCGCAGTTTCTCTTGACTTTTTTCGACTGGTTTCAGGCGTCGCCTCGCCTCGATGCAAAAGCATTCCCTTGTTCCCGAAGTTCCCGCGTCCCCGTCCCCGTCCTCGGCCCCGGCCCCGTCGTCGTCGCGCCACGCCACGGTGTTCCCGGCGGTTCGCAGTCTCGCGCTTTCCGTCTGAGAGCTTCGAAAACTTTCGACGGCGCACTGAATACCGGCGCTGCATTAAACATGAATAAACGATTTATGAGAACAGAACGGCTGTAACGGGTTGTCGTCGGCGAAGACTCGCCGGCCGACGCGACGCGACACGGCGCGCTTCGCCGCTCCGATGAAAGAACCCGCTGGGACTTCCGGGGCCCTGCTCCGGACTCTCTCGGCGAACGTTAGGTGCGCCCTTTTAACTCCAACTTCCGCTTTTCTCGCGCGAGCGTCACGCGCACGGGTCGCGAGAAGGTCGCGATTCGTGCAACTGGACAGCGAACCAAAATTCGCTGACGAGGAATGATGTCCGCGTTACCGCGGCCGGAAACATTCGTCTCAGTTGCGTTAAGGGCCGGTTGTTCCAACTTCTCGGTAAGTTAACTGATAGTTAAGTCATATGTCTGTCTTTGTCTAAGTTGAAAGAAAAACAAAGACAAACATATGACTTAACTACCAGTTAACTTACCAAGAAGTTGGAGCAATCGAGCCTAAAGCACAGATTTGTGCCGTTCCTTTTAATGGGAGAAGACATTTGAAAAATATATAATTAAATTTAATAAAATATATGATTCTTGTTTACTTTATTAATATAATAATAAAATTTAAAAAATAATTTCAAGATTAATATAATAAGAATATATTCTTTACTTTGTTATTTTTATTGTTTTATTATTTTATATTACTTTTGTTTTATTATATATTGTTTATTATTTTATATTTTATTGTTATTGACCGAGTAGAAACGTCCGCCGCATTCTTGCGATCGAATTTTCCGGTTGGTTCCTACTCTTCCCTAAAAATTCACTTCCCCTGACGGAATTGCTTTTTCCGTGCAACGTTGCCTCAGCCTGAGGACCGGAAACTGGCATGTTTCGCAGCCGATAAGCGTTCAGAACAAGGCTCGACTCGTCGTCCGGTATCGGTGCGCCGATTACCTCTTCGAGCCGTACCCTCGCGAGCGCGCGTGATCTCGCGACCCGCCTCGTTACGCCGGTCGATAATTAATAATCGCCTCCGACGATCGTACGTAGTCCGTCGAGCTGCGGGCTTCCTATCTGCTTTGTCATCGCTCCGGATAATAATTCCTCGGCGATTGGCGGGTACAACCGTGTCCATGGCGCGCGAATAACGGATTAGCCCTCTCGGCTATTTCGCTTCTTGGAAGCTTTGATTTTCATCCCGGCGCGGATCGGCCTTCGCGGCCGAGTTAAACGAACAGGGTGTCAGACTGCGACCCCGGAGCCACGAAGTAATCGCGCGCGGAAACACGAAGCGAGCAGGAGCGAGAGAGAAAGAGGAAGAGAGGTGAGTATCTCGCGGAGCGGGAGCGAGACGAGGAATTTCTATTTCCGAGATCGCCGCCCGACGCGCCGACAAGATCGACGAGTGCGAGCGAGCGAGCGAGAGCGGATCGTATTTTGCCGCGTTCTAATATGTTATTTTCGGAGTTCAATCGCGGCGGACGCTGCGGCGGAGCCGCTTCTCGAAGAAGAGAAAAATGAAGGAGGAGGGGCTAAAAAGAGAGAGAGAGAGAGGAAATATATATATGCATTAAACCGGGGGTGTACGCTCGCGGGGACGAGCGG